GGGTGTTGAGCCTTCTTCCTTCCTGTACAATGCTCTGATTGGCAAGCTTGGAAAGGCCCGACGCATCGACGACTGCCTGTTCTACTTCTCTGAGATGCGCAACCTCGGTATTCGCCCTACTTCTGTCACCTACGGTACCATTGTCAACGCTCTCTGCCGTGTCAGCGACGAGAAGTTCGCCGAGGAACTGTTCGAGGAGATGGAGAGCATGCCCAACTACAAGCCCCGCCCCGCGCCCTACCACAGCATGATGCAGTTCTTCCTGACTACCAAGCGTGATCGCAGCAAGGTTCTCAACTACTACGAGCGTATGCGTGCTAAGCGCATCGAGCCTACCACGCACACGTACAAGCTTCTCATCGACACGTACGCTACCCTCGAGCCTGTCGATATGGAGGCCGCGGAGTCGGTTCTCGAGCAAGTTCGCAGCGCCGGTGCTGTCCCGGAAGCCGTCCACTACTCATCACTGATCCACGCCAAGGGTTGCGTCATGCACGACATGGAGGGTGCTCGTCGTCTCTTTGACACTGTCCTCGCCGACAGCCGTGTTCGTCCTCAGGCCTGCCTCTACCAGGCGTTGTTCGAGGCCATGGTCGCCAACCACCAGATCGCGGATACCGAGGATGTCCTCCGCGACATGCGTGCTCGTGGCGTTGAGATGACTCCTTATATCGCCAACTCTCTCATCCACGGCTGGGCCCTTGCTCACGACATCCAGAAGGCCAAGGCCATCTACGAGTCTGTCTCCGAGAGCAGGCGCGAGCCCAGCACCTACGAGGCCATGACCCGCGCCTACATGGCCGTCGAGGACCGCGCTGCCGCTATGACAGTCGTCAATGAGGGTCTCTCTCGTGGCTATCCTGCGGCCGTCGCCGGCAAGATCCTCGAGCTCGTTGGTGGCGGTCGTGCCCCCGTGTCTGAGGTGACCGCTTAAGCTACCAACCTCAGCATCCCTTCTTCTCTTCGACTTCCCGCCTTTTGGCACTTCGATCATACACTTTTTTACTCGATCTACTGCGACGGCCGAACAAAAAGAATTTCTCAAAACAGCCCCCGCGCTACCCGGAGGGTGAAACTTCCAGTGGCGTGGCTGGGCATCAACATTCAATTCTCTAAAGTCGCTTCTACGTTTTTCAGCGACGGCGTTTATATCCAGGGTCTCTTTTTCTGTAGCGAAACAACAACGATATCCCGCAACTAGCAGTGGAGCTGGTGGACTGGGTGGGTCTGGCGTCTTGTCTGTGTAAATGACGGGTGGTTAGGCCTAGTTGGGCTGCCTTATCTTCAAGGTTGGTTGGGATGGGGGATATGTGGCGATCATCTTTCTCGTACTCTGCATCTCGTCATTGGCATGGTGTTTTCTCTGGTGGTCATTGCATCTGCGCGGTCGTTTCGACATGGTTTCGCTGTACAATACCCTGGATCATACCATCTCCTCTCTAGATCACGGTTGGGTTTTCGGTAGGCGGGCGGCAAGGTGTTTAGCATCGGGCTGAGTAGATAGTCATACGGGATTGATACATGATCTCGTGGAATGAATGAAAAATGTAATAAGAAACTCTGCTTCGTCGGGTATGAGTGTGCTGTTCAAGGAGAGAATAGAATTAGTATTCGTCAGACGAAAGGCATAGGCATAGAGTCAATCCATTTGAAAGGATGTAATTCAGTTTCTAGCTGTCAGGTAGACGTCTTGGATTGGGTGTCTCGTATAGGCGTAAAGCAAGGCCTGACGCGATGATCCAGCCGTGCTTTAGGCCTCTATGAGAGACCCGATTCAAGACATCTACCTGACAACTAGAAACTGATCTTTTTGGATTTGCTGTGCCCCTACAACGCTGTAACCACAAACTCGTAGGTCATGCGTAAGGATGTCTAAGACGGCTACATTCCCTCAAACGCCGGGCTCATGTATGGTGAGATGCGCCAAACCACCGCTTGTATCAATATGAATATCGTGAATCGTAAAGGCCAGTATATACAATAGTCCCTCCTCTTATCCTGCCCACTCATGAGCATCAGTTGTAGTTCCTTGTCTCGGTCGCTTGGTCGGCTTCTCGAGCTAGACGGCTCTCGTTGGCGGCTTGCTGGAGGGTTTGGTTGTTCGTCTGGCGCTTCTGGGCGTCGAGCTTCTTCTGGAGGTCGCCGGATGTGGCTTTGTTTGCGCGTGCCTGGGTACTGTGTCAGTCATCATCGTCGCAAACAAGGTTGTAGGTACGTACCTCTGCTGCAGCGGCGGCGGCAGCCTTCGGATCATCTTCGCGGTTGCTGTCTCCTAGTGTCCGCGCTGGTCCTCCGACCTTGGGCTTCGCCGGCGCAACATTGTTCGGCACAGATGCTTTGGTCGCGGGCGCAGGCGCAGACCCGAGTGTGCGCCCTTGGCCTTCGAAGTTGTCTTTGGACTGTTTGCCGCAGAGATTACCCATCTGTGGTTTGGAATGAGGAGTTGAAGTTAAGGGAAGCTGGGGCAAAGGATGTTTGGTTATGAGCGTCGTAGGCGTAGTCGTCACTGTGGCTGTGCGAAGGTAGGGTCCAAGGTGCAAGGGAGAGTTGCGGAGACATCAGCCTCGTGGCGGGGAAATGTGCATTGCGACGCGTGGGATTGGCGCCAAGTACCCGTCTCTCGGTTCCCGGCTGCGGCATCTCAGGCAGGGTGTAAACTGCGCATCAGACTCTCCCGGCCTGCGTTTGCTCATCTTCTCTCATCTTCTTAAACGTTCTCGTCGCGTTTGTGACGGCTACGCATGACGATGATCGCAAACGTCAAGCACGCCGTAGGTGGGTACACTAGAGCGGTAGCGCAATGAGTTCTTCCGCATCCCGTGGATGGAGGACTCTCTGCCCGGTCGCACACGACAATACCGGTGCGTGAATCGCCTCGCAAACGTCGGGATTGCTCTGGACATTGATAGCGACAGTAAGGTCGTCTCGAGGTTATCAAGCCTCGTGGTAAGAGTCCTGTGATGCCTGGGCTCGGAATATCCACGATACACATGACAGTCGCGACTTCCAAGGCTGGAGCCAAGGGCCAATGAGGGCGCACGAGTTGGATATACGCTTTTACGCATTCGGGTTAGGCTCCATTCACTCTTCTCAAGCGCATACCCTCATCGTCTCAGCCAAACTGTATCCTTTCCATTGTAGCGGGTGTTGTGAAGTTGTCTGGGTAGACCCCAAGAGGCATGATTAGTCGTATGTTTTACACTTTCCACTTACCCCTCGTACCTTGCCCGGCACTCTGATTACGCCATCGTGCTTTCCCAATCCTGAGAACCGTGATGGCCTCCGCCATGACTTTTCGACATTGACAGACACACACTCTGAAACTCCCACCAAGGGCTCGCAAACATGGCTAATAACTGTGCAGACTGCGATCGCGATTCGGCTTTTGGAGACGAAGACGACTTCTGGACTACGGATCCAATGTTTTCCTTGGGCGCGCCCGTGGCAGGGACCAAGCGTGCTGCAGACGATCTGAAAGATGATGCCGCACGAACCCGAGGCCAATCAACCCCGTCCCAGCTTGAACACGGTACTCAATCTGTTGATCCAAGCTTGTGTTGCACTCATTGCCCAGAGACGTGCGACGTGCGCCCACCTAAGCGGAGGGCTTCCGCCCTGAAAGTGACCGAGTATCACGGACTCACCACCGACTCACAACCCAGTCTCGATGCCGACTGCCCTTTCCCAGACGACTGCTTCGAGAAGTTCTGTCAAGAGTGCCATCTAGAGCCCTCTTGTCCTCCACTGCCTTGCCCTGCCGACGATTGCCCCGAAGACGACGCTTGCTTCGACCCCCGGTGTAACGAGAAAAACGACCATTGCACAGACGACTGTATAGACCCTCAGTGTACAAAGGCCGCTTGTCCAGACCAGTCTTGCTTTTGTCAGAAGTGCAACAATCAACCCTTCACCCTGCCTGACTCGCATCACGAGTGTCACTTCGCCCATTCCGCTCCTACGCCCGTCGGTACTGTGTACTGTTACGACACCGCGCCCTGTCACTTTCAAGAAGGCTTCCACGGAAACGACGATGGCCTGGGGTCATTTGAGACATATCCCTGTTTCTCTCAGACTCACGGGTACAACACCATCGCCGACGACCTGACAACAATAGCGTCGAGCGCGCCAACACCAGCGCTGTCGCACAGCAACTATACTTCGCTAGAAAGCGCCTTTACTACCGAGCCATCGCCGGGCCCTGGCCAAACTGTCTTCCCACCACACTGTTACCTCAACGTCGCTGGCGACCACTGTCACATTGACAACTCGTGCTGCCATGGACCTCAAAGAGCGTGCGGTGACGCACCATCTGCATCACAACAACAGATGGATCTTTGGAACTCGTCGATAGCACAGGGGAACGGCCTCGCGTCCAACTTTATGAACTTTGGTTTTAACCCAAGCTTACCGACAAGCCCTGTGTCAGCGGACCGCAACTCATTACACTCCTCGAATCCTTTCAGCCTAGACGCCCCGATGATGGGATTCAACGATCAGACATTCCATGATCAGTCGTGGATGCTGACGGGCTCGGCTTTTCCTAACGAGTTGCAGCCAGGGGGCTCATTCGGTGCTGCCAATAAACTCGACTTCCTCGCCTCTGCAGTCCAAAGCGAGATGTTACGGCCCAGCGGGACAACGTTTGCTGGTTCAAGTTCGGCATCAGCTGCTGGAGCGACCGACGCTCAGTCCTGTGTATGCAAGTGGTACGTCGGCCCGAATTGGTTCCCTGACCCTCCAAGTCACTTCTATTCTCAGAATGCTAGACGGCACATGTAAATATAAGCTAATCAGAACCTGCAGGCAACATGCACCCGGTGTCCTCTGCCTCGCTGTCTTTGACAGCCCCGAAGCCCTCCACAAACACATCAAGACCGGACACGTTGACAACTGCACACACTGCTTCTGCCAATGGGAAGGCTGTGAAGCACATTCTAAAGATTTCAAGCAACGCTCTAAGTTGTCTCGTCATCTTCTCGGCCACGCAGGCTACCGCCCATATGCTTGTAGCTATGAGGGCTGCGACAAGACGTTTGCTACCAACCAAGCCAAAGACAACCACGAGAGGACACACACAGGCGAGAGACCGTATGTATGTGACCGCTGTGGCTACACAACAACAACGCATACACAGTTGCAAACCCACATTAGCGCGCTGCACGAGGGCAAGAAGCCGCACAAATGCCGGTTCTGCGAGTTTACATGTGCCGACTCAAGTAACTTGAGCAAACACGAGAGGACACATCAGGTAGGCCTGGATAGACTGGTCATACAATGCTACATCTTACTAACGATGCTCACAGACTCTCCGACCATACAGGTGTCCACACCCCAACTGCACCTTCAAGCCCGACTGCCGCTGGGAGAACCTAAAGCGACACCTGCGCCGTTCAGGCCACTGCCCACAACTACTAGTGGAAACGAGCGAAGAATACAAGTCGTACCGCGAAGGCGTTCGACGCGAGATAGACGATTGGCACAAGCGAAACGAAGATGGTGGCCTGGGAAAGGCCGGTAGGAGGAAGGGAAGATCGTAGGTGATACCATTTGATGGAGAAGTGATACCAGAAGTGAACTTTGGCGGTGGTTGTGCCTTTGGGCGACCTTGCTTTTGCACTGCGATGATGCGATGAATTTACGGATTAGCGATGAACACTCCCTTCGGGGTACTTTGATGGGGGGACTGATTTATGCCCTTTTGGGTCTCAGGACGAGACGAGATTAGAACGAGGTGATACCTGAAATGCGAACGATCGTTTACCAATCATCGTTGCTTTGCTGTGCTCTTCGTGGTCTGAGTGTTCGTACACTTAGGTACGACAAGGGGCCGCTTGTATACTGTATGCAAGCACAAGCAGAAGAACCCGACACTGATTCATCCCAGTCCCATTCCTGCTCATCACGTAAGCTATGTCAACTAAATTCCAGCTCCCAACCAGATCTCACGCCCATGCAATACTGATTCCTTCTATACCTTGCACTCACGGCAGTCACGTAAGCAAGGGATCAAACACGTGTGCCTGTGGCTTGTGCGTTTTGCTCGGAGATTTGCATTCGAGAAACGTGTTGAACGGGGGGTGTTGAACCGGGGAGGCGGGTTCGGTTGTTGGGGGGTCGGGGCAAAGGGTTTCATGCTTATGCTATAGGTATTGCTTGGCTATAAGTGACAACGGTGCGTGTTTCGAGATGGTGTAAGATTCGAGGAGATGCGGGTAGCCAGGGTAGGGGAAAGGAAGGGATGGGGGAAAGGGGAAAGTGATGGACGAGGGCTGGTGGATGAGGGTTTGAGAGTAGGGTATAATCGCGGATATGGTTGTACCTCGGTGCTGACGTCCTTGAATTGAGGTCGTTGGGTTAACCGGACTGGGCAAAGTGACGATCCCACTAGGAGTTTGCACAGCACAAAGCATTCACTACCCGAAAAGACAACATGTCGAATATTCCGGTACTTCCCATTGCCGAACCTAGCTATCCAAAACGCAAGCAACCACCATGCAACCACCATCTCCTCTCTCCTCAGCATCCAAAACAGCAAAAGCCACCATCCACTAAACAACCACAAACCACACCCTCTCTCTCTCCTACCCAACAGGCGGGATATCGTAGAAATGATAATCAAGATAAAGCATTAACCCTTTGGCCTCGAGAGTAGGCTCCGGAAGCAAGGTTTTATATACAATATCGCTTCCAGCGCTCAACTCACTCACTCTCCACAGAAAACAATCAACAGCAAGAAAGGAAAGGTTGCGCCGCATGGGATATGCGGCGGGGTATAGAACAAACGTCAATCAGCCGGGGTGGGTGGGTAGGTAGGTCAGGGTCGTATGTACCGAAGTAGATGGGAGTTTGGCGTGATTTACTGGGGGAACGTCGAAGAAGGTTGTATTTTTGTTGCGCAAAGCAAAGGCTTGCGCGACAGGGGACGGTTAAGGAGCGTATTAGACACTAGACCCGAAGGCAGTCTATGGTTCGCGCTGATCGTGACAAAGCAGAAGTGTAAGTGGTCCAGTGGCCGTGGCGTGTTCGAGGGTCTCAAAGGACCCCTAGAGGGGTAGAACGACGGCCGATGATCGGGAGTGTGGTGGTAGGACCAAGAATCGAAGGTATCGCAAAACGGGAAGAGCAACGCGTAAATCAAACATCATCGTGGCGACATTACTATTTGGAGACAGGGTCGGAGCCGATAAGTGTACTAGACCCCAGGGAGTGGACGTCTGGTGTGCTCGAGAGTAGTGGCCGTGTTAGCGAATTGGGCGGTGCTGCGGATGCGACTCGACTTTTGCCCTTTCCATACCGCGCGTAACGTGGTGGGCGTTCTGAGGTTGGAGATGACAAGGGAGCAACTAGGGAGCGTTAACAGACCCAGGCACGGAAGGACATCTTAGGGGCTTGGGGGTATCCGGTCACCTCCGCTTCCATGCCCGCCAGAGTCTGTGCTGTCGCCTTCAATCGTCTTCCTCCAGTGTTGTGGCAAGCACACGCAGACCAAGGGGAAAGCCTTGATCTCGCTGTCGGATTCGACGGGTGATCGTCGGCCTCCGTTGCTTACGCCTGAGTCGCGTTGTTCGGCTTTTCGGGCTTCCCACTGCTCTGCCGATTCGGAAAGTCTTACACCTGTCGCCCAGCCGTCATCCCAGATGCCAACCACCTTGAGCATATCTCCTCTTTCTAGCTCGAACTCGTCGCCGGCACGAGGTTGGTAGGCCCAGAGAGTGGCAACAGTGTCGTTCGGGTGGATATCGTCCTGGGAATAGTAATCTTTGAAGAACTGTAACTGCTCGGACTGGCCGGAAGCGACACCATCCGGACTGGAGAAGTTGCGCGTCTGATCAGATCCAGAGAGTGGTGAAGAGCTCGCTCCGAGAGCAGAGTGGCTGGAAAGAGAACCTTGTCGTTTGGGGAGGTTACCGGCGAGATGGCCACGTATCGACTCGGGTGAATCATAGGCACCGAGTTGCGAGCCACCGTATGCGGTCATACGGCCGCCTCGGTCGCTGTTCTGGCCTGAGGACTCGGATCCTTCCAAAGCCGACATACGCTGAACACGCGCACCGGGGAGAATGGTAGCGGGCGATTGGCCGTCGCCTCCGTAGCTCATAGGTGGCATGGGCCCCTTGGGAGAGTGGCGTCGCGATGGCGATGGGGTATTGAAGACGCTTCCAGCCTGGCTATTCTTCTTGTGCCGCATGCGCATGCAGCAGAAGATGGCGGCTGCGATGATTACCGCAGCGCCGACAAGTGATCCAATGACGATACCAGCGATGGCGCCTCCAGAAAGACCAGAATCACCTCCACCAGATCCGGCACCGGCTGTGGAGCTTGGGGAAGAGGACGAAGTGCTTGAGGGGAACACTGGAGGCATCGAGACGGTTGTAGGCAGGTCAATGCCTACGCAGCGCGATTCGACGTTTGCGTTGACGCAGCAAGAGTCCGTAGAGTTGACGGTGCTAGTGGAACAGAACAGGCAGAGCCCTTGCAGGTTGCCATTGTATCCACATTCGCTGGGCTCGTTTTCGGTCGCGTCGATACAGCTGTTGCTGAGGGAGTTGGCCGGGTTGGAGCAGCGGGTGAAGTCAGAGCGAATCTCTGGAACTGCATTGTTACCAGGTGTGCCGCACAGGTCTGGGCTTGATACGATGACCTGTTCGCTAATGGCAAAATCGGCCTGGTTCAGTCAGCATTTCGATGCGGTACAGGATAGCAAAGATAGTCTACATACGCAGGCACTAGCACAAAGCGGTGTCGCTTCCGTGTCGCCGAGTCCGCAGCTGTTCTTGGAGGATTGAATGATGGCGTTACAAAGGACAGTCGTTGTATAACGAGCATAGAGATTGGTGGTGCTGGTAAGGTTGACGCTTGAGCATCCCAATATATTCTCGTACCTGGGATGCATTAGTTTTTCTCGTGCATATGAACAGTCGCGTGGTACGACTTGAACTAGACTGACTGTCGCTGTGCATATCCGGTACCGATGTAATTCTTCAAGCCCTCGTCGAACGACCGAGTGTCTGACACGTATTGAAGAAATGGACTATGCGCGTGTACTGTTAGCTAACACCCTGTCTATCAAAACACAATTGACGTACAAGTTCCCGGTCAAGTTCGTGTCGACAGAGGCGGAGGAAAAGGCCGGGCAGGCGGTCGAGCCCTGGAGCGACACGCAACTCCGTTGAGCCATTGCGGACGGTATCGATGCGGCTACGACAGCGAAGACGGCAGCCCTTTTTATTCCAGAGCGGGATTGCTTTTGGGAACAGGAGGTAGTAGTTGGGCGACGATAAGGTTCGGAGAGAATCATAGCGCCAACATGGTCGCAGCACTGGCACGGGCGCATGCTGAGTATATCTGTACGCGTAGAAGCTGTATGGCTTGTCGATAAATCCAATCCTAGGAAGTGGCCGTGGTGGAGTGTAGTAATCGACGATGGCGGGCCAGTAGGAGACGCGCAGCTTCACGAGTCCATTCGCGACATGTAGATAGGCCTCGGGGATGGGGTATATCTATGTAGGTGTCGAGATGGCGATGCAAGAGTATTAGAAAATAGAGACCGTATCGGTGGGGTGCCGGTCTAAGAAGGGAAGGAGAGGGCCTGGCTCGCAGTGGCAGAAAGAGCGTACTGGGTAGGGAAGCTGCGATGGGCCTCTACAGTGGAGAGAGGAAGGCACGCTTGAGCCTTGGGGGATGGTCAACACGCACGAACAGCGAGGCTACCGCGTCGGCTAGCTCCTGCTTCGGCGTCAGGGATCAGGGGTCCGGTCGTTCTTTCTGCGCGCGCTGATTGGGCTGACCCTGCCGAGGGGAAATGAGATGTACCTGGCCTAAAATTATCCTCCGATGCTTTTCGTCTCAGGTGCCTGGCGACGATTGCGACTCCAGCTGGTCGAGTGATTAGGTATAAGACTGCCGTTTATACGACCTCGACAACGACCCACCGCATGCCCGCCGTGTGCAACCTCTCTCGACGGCAGCCCGCAGCGCTCCATACTGACCCGCAGCTATCTGCAGCACAATGCAGCAAGACGCATGCGGCATAGCGTCTGCCTGCACACACTAACAGTTGAACCGACCTGCTGGATTAGTCCGCTGTTTCAATATACAAATACTACTGTCCACCGCGCAACCGGTCTGCTGCGGATGGCATTGTTGTGTTGCAGCGCATAATGTCGAGCCTGTGCCTGAGACCGTCCGCCCTCAGCACAACCACGTCGCTTCGTCTCACGACGCTCCCCGCAATTGTGGATGCCTATGCGACGTGGCCATGCGCTGTTCGAACGGCGCATGGGGCTTGCGGAGCCTCCAGCCTCGTCCTTAGCGGCGTCCATCGTTCTGTTTACTGTGCGTGCTGCGTAGCTTTCTGCAGCGCCCGTTGACCCTCGGCCCTTTCCTACTGCAGACTAGCTAACGGCCCGCTCCCTGAACCAGAACCATTGTTTACTCTGAGCCTGCGACGATCCGCCCTGATCTGCATCACCAGCCATATCCACCACATCTACGGTGGATTCGACTTCCCTAGCATGTGTTGCGTCACTATCACACCTAGTACGCCGCAGAGGACCACTACCGATGACTGACGTCTGTGTCACGATGCACCCACGCCGCATCACCATTACATGCACTACCTGTCCAACTCTGGTCCCCAGCCTTCTTTGACTCCAGAGTCGAAGATCAATCTGTTTCGTTATTGGGATCATCTCTCAAAACTCTCTGTGATCTACGCTATCAGAATCCGAGCGTCCAGCCATCCTCTCCACCGTCAATCAGCCACGTCCCAAGACTTTCCCCAGCATTCAGAGCATCAGTCACCATGGACTCCTTGTCCTCAGTCACTATGCAAGCTTTGCGGCGTCATCACGTCCACAGTTCTCAGGCACGGAGCATCTGACACTGCTTGTTTTAACTTTGCGTCTTGCGGGGATGTGGTCAATGCGACTCAGGCAAACCTGACTTCCGGATTGAAGTCTATCTTGGAATACTATACTCGTTGCTCAAGACGTCGCTAATCGATCTTAGTCTTGTGCAACATCAACACCTTCCTGGGTATAGAACGCCTATCCATGTCTGAATAGAATATCGCCGTGAACTCTCGCCAAGATATACCAACTTACGCAAGCACCCAAGCCGCCTAGAACTGGTTCGATTGATCACCAAAGTCAATGCAGCTCTGCTTGAGCGTCTCTTTGATCATCCACGCAGTCCACGGCTCTTCAACGGGCACTAAAACTTTACCTACGGTGGCTCCCTTCTGACCTGCCTTACGCGCCGAGGTGAACAGGGCATGCCTGTTTACCTGAACTTGGATGTTGTAGCACTTGGGCGGACCGGTCGTTAACTACGTATTATGATCAGTATGGATGGACGAAAACGATAGTGCACAAACATTACTTACATTCTGCATGTCCAGTCTGTAGTTGTCGTCCTCGTAGATGGTCTTCTGGATAGATGGCAAACCGCCCTCGAGCTTATGGTCCGGGATGCCGTCGATGAAGGCGAGGAGAGCTTTGCGGAACTTCTTACCCATACTGATGCTTACTCTTGTGATGGACTCTATGGGTCTATGGTTGTAATCTTCCGAGGTTGCGTGCTCGATGAGGTGTATCCGCTCCATGGCTGTTGATCTTGACATCTGTCTGGCAGTGTGAAGGTACATGGGACAATTTAGTCGCGCTGCGTCGACATCAGTGCAGCGTGGATGTATTCAGTGCTACCATGTGCATGCACTTTCACGCCCTGGACAGATTTGACGCTGGTTCGCCGTGCACAAACGAGGCAGGTGAAAGCGATGAGCACAGTCTTTGTTCGCTTGTAACCACGCCACATCACCTCTACCCCTCTAACATTTACACTACACCACGGTCACCAAAACCACACCACATCATCATGGCTTCAGCGGCAACTACGCTTCGGGGTATTGAACAACCAGGACTATACTGGAAGCCAGGTCTTTTCGGCGCCAGGCCAACATGGACTAAAGAGCCATCCCTTGACAAAATTACAGAGTTGGCGCACAACCATTTGAAGTTGCCACAGGATGAGCTTGTTGACTTGAGGCCTTTCGCTGAAGGCGCCTTCAACAAACTATACGAAGTCATCTGCTCTAAGGGTCAATTCATTTTCCGTGTCACGCTACCAGTAGCACCAGAAGTCAAGACCAGAAGCGAGGTCGCTACGCTGAGCCTTCTCCACGAGCGGACCAACATTCCAGTTCCCGAGATCATCGCGGACAACGATGATCTTGAAGATGACCTAGGTTTTGAATGGATACTCATGGAGCGCATGCCAGGTCGTCCTCTGCGAGAAGTATGGCATAAGATGTCCTGGCTTCACAAAGAGCTTCTGGTCAAGCAAATAGTAGGCTTCATGGTTCAGCTGTACTATCTAAAGCTCCCCAGTATAGGTAGTCTTTATTCTGAGGAGTCGATATTCGACTGGGATCGCAGCAGAAACTACACAGTGGGAGATGCAGTCACGCAAGCTTTCTTCATAGACGACCATATCCAGCAGTCCATCTACCGCGGTCCGTTCGCAAGCAGCCAAAGCTTCGTAAATGCTCACATGGCCTTCCTTCAACACGACATCACCAAGCTACAACACGCAGAAGGCTCAGATGGCTACGACTCCGACGACGAAGAACAAGCAGAAGGAATGTCAGAGATCTACGCCAAACTCCAAAAGGTGATTCCAACGATTTTCCCAGCAGCGAACCCAGGGGACGAAGACGAAGAAACAATTCTCTTTAACGGCGACATCTCCTTCAACAACATCATCGTCTCCCCTTCTGGAGACCTCGTCGGTATCGTAGACTGGGAATGCACAACCACAGTGCCACCCTGGCACGCCTGTCAAATCCCCCAGTTCCTCGACGGTCTCTTACCCACATCCACTACTTCACAATCCCAACCACCTCTACCCCTCACCCCCGAAGCACTCGCCGACAAAGACGCCGTACAATTCCACCACGAACAACTTCAAGCCTACGAGCTTACCTGTCTACGCACCTTCTTCGTCGAAGAGATGCGTAGACAGTGTCCGGAGTGGTTGGTGTATTGGCAGGAAGGGGCGAAGAAGAGGGATGTGTTGATTGCGATTGAAGAGTGTGGGGATGATAGTCAGTGGACGTTGATTAATGGATGGTTGGATGCGGTGTTGGAGGGGAGGGAGCCGAAGAAGGGGTTGTTGGAGGCGATGTGGACGCCTGTTGGCGAGTAGGTTGGAGTGTTGGAGCTGAACAGGCCGTACGGCTGCAAATGCGAAGTAAGAGACTGCCCTTCCGAGGAGAAATCTGCATGAATGTAGGCGGTCTGAGAACTTCAAATGCTGCGCAAGCCTTTGTCGCATGTGTATAATGTCTTTCGTATCTATGATTTTGTAATCTCTATTTCGCCATAGTCAAAACATGACTGGGTATCATTCAACGCGCGCATCCACCTCGTCTCTGCGCATGTTCTCTTTGTCCAAGTATGTCCACCAAGATCCATCAACCCATATCCCACCCAAAATACTCTCTCAGAAGAATTTGACACCCTCCCCTTCACCTCCCGACCCAAAAACCTGCGCCCTCCCCCTCTTAACACAAACGCCCAAACTCTTCTGCAACAACTCCAAATCCATACCGAAAAACTCCTCCCGCCGACTCGCATCCCCCTCCACAATCTCATACAACGTCAGCACCGTACCCTTCTGCCCCGTCCTCTCAACCCACTCCTCCAACGCCGCAGCCCACTCCTCCGGCCTGCGCCAATATATCCACGCCTTGCCGCCCTCGCTCTCTTCTCCCGCCTTCGCCTTCTTCGAAGAACTCGTGTTGATGAATTCGGCGCGGTTGCCGCCTTCGGGGGACGCCATGTAGGTCAAGATGGCTTTTGCGTCGCGCAGGGAGAGGCTGCGTCGCAGCGTGGTGTTTGTGAAGAGGGGCGTGGGGAGCGCGTCGATGAGGGAGAGGGTGAAGATGCGGTTGTGGCGGCAGTAGGATTGGATGAGCGTGGACCAGGAGGCTAGTTGGGAGGAGCGTGTGCTGGCGACGGGTTGGAGGGTGAAGAAGGGCGGGAAGGAGTAGTGCGGTGGGAAGACGAAGTTGGGGGACGTGAGCGTTGTTGCTGTGGATGGTGTGGGCGTGGGTGTTGAGGCGGGGGCGGGGGATATTGCTGCCATCGTTTATGGGGATTTGGTAGATAATTGAAAGGGAAAGTACGAGGAGTGAGCTTGTGGAACGGTTGCGCGTGGAGAGGGTTGATCGTTTGGTGCGCGCGCCGCTGGAGGTCTGCGGGGACTTCGCGACGTCATTGGTTGCTTGGCTTGGGCACTGAGACCTTTCATCTGCATTTCAGGCACAACTACACACGACAGAACCAGATGCACGGCTACTTCAACCTACCTGTTGAACATACAACACTCATTCCGTCAACTCGCTATGTTTGGTGGATAGATCAATATCTAGCGACTTGGCTATTCAACCCAGTCTCACATCGATCGCTTTCATCAAAGAGAAGAGCACGATTCACACACGAATGTGCATCGCTTTGCTCATTTCGACCGCCATGCTATTTTACTCTTGTTTCATTCTACAGTCTATAGTCATCCTATTCTCGATCACCCGGATCGAAAGTCACCCCAGCCACAATCGGATTAGGAAACTCATCAAGAAGGAGCATTTTGGTGTTGGGTCCTTCTGATATCTTTCTTTCTGGCACTATATTCTGCCTTGGTTATATTTTCTCGTTATTTCAACATGTATACTCAGTCGTCATTGATAGCGTCGTCGAAACACTTGTTACAGATGAGAGTAAGCTCATCAGAAAACTTGCGTATGTCTGCTTCCGCATGCTGCAGCTGATCGCGAAAGGCCTTTATGAACTGACCTACAGTAACGCCACTGTCGTCTTCCGCAACCAGATTGTACGTGCGGCCCGTGTTATGGTAAGCCCTATATGCGAACACGATGTCGATGCGTTGGAGACCTGGCATACACAACAGCTGGGCCATCCAATCACTCTTCTTGGGTAAAGGATCATTCATGCTGACTTCCAACAAATTTTGCAGATGTTGGAAAGATTCGAATTCGAACCAGGGTCGCGGTTTACCGGAGTTTCGTATCTTTGCTCTGTCGAATAAGCGTTCGTCGACGTGGTGCATGCACTGCTCCATGTTGTCAATAATGTCGTGGAAGTCGTTATCGCGAGTGAATTCGAAGATAGGTTCGGGGTTCGTGGACGCTTCGTTGAAGTCGACTTCCACGACTATCACGGTCCGCGGGAAAGAGTTGGGGAGGCCTTTCAACTCGATGCTCGTTCTCAGATTCACGGTGATTGTGGCAATGTCACTGTCATCATCATCATCATCGCTGTCGGTACTCGCATCGTCCATGTTGTCGTCCTTCTTCTCGTTCTCGTTGTTATCGTTGTCGTCATCTGAAAAAGCTTCATTCAGGAATGTTTTGGGAGGGGCGTCTTGGTCTGCATTACCAATCGGTACGCCTGAATTGGTCTTGTCGGTGTTGTTTTCTGTATTACCCTGCATGTTTTGTGGTATCTCCGGCGGTATAGTCACCTGTGAAAAGGAATCGAGACTGATGATGGGAGGGATAGCGATACTGGGGTGCTAGACTTTATACTGCGCCGGCGGTCACGTTCATCGTGTGACATCTGTGTCCTGAGATAAGCCCACATGACCATCAAGATATATTGCTAGTGTCCTCGTTGTTTGACCTAGTTCTAGTGTCACAGCCTCATATGGATCAAGACAGTTTCACGCACCAGTTTGGATAGTGAAGCAACGGTACCAAAGGTCTCTTCATTTCCTGGACTCATTCTATCTTCTCACCTCCCAATTCACGCTATCCTGTTCATACTCAATCCTCATGATTCCTCTCCCAGCATTCACCGCAGTAGACCAACATCTCCTGGGGAAATCTACGTATGTCCTCCTCAATATGTGTCAGCTGTTTGCGGAAAGCCCTCACAAACTGACCCATTGTAACTCCGCATCCACCCTCTCCTTGAAGCTTATATTTGCGACGCCCACGGGTGTAATACGTGTAATCGAAGACCACGTTAATGCGCGGCTGAGCTGGCTCACACAACAGCATATCTTTCCATGAACCATCGTTTCTGCTGCGCGAATGTTTTCGCATCCATTCCAACACGTCATCCAGATCATCGAACGAATCGAAACCGAAGTTTTTATGTGACACTCCATTGGTTGCCTGAAACACTTTGTCGACGAGAGGCAGACGATCATCCAGATTCAGAAGAATTGGATGGAAGTTCGTGCCAGAGGGAAAGTTGGATAGCTGATCACTATCATCAGGGGCAAAACCACAACCGTAGTTCGTGTTGAAGTCGACTTCGAACCTGATCATGGCTTCTGGGAAAGAGCCGGGGACGCAGACCAGGTCCGCAGCTGCACGTAGATTGACGGTGACGGTAGGTATACTGTCCTCCGTCTTATCAGTAGTATTACTCCAATGCTTGTCGCTGTTTTGGTTCTTGTCATGAATATCCGCTCCGTTGCTATGCTCCGTGTTCTCTTTCTTGTCATTCGCTTTCTCTCCACTTCTAGTCTCATCTTTGGGCGGCACTACCCGATCCTTAAACATCTTGTCTCGAAGCGTTGGATCAGTGCTCTGAATGTTATCACGCCACTCCGTGCATACTCGAAGGGAGCGAAGAACTGTATGCAAAGCCAGCGGTACATATCTAGATCAAGCGCCCACAATGCATTTGAGAGAGCAGATTCGCGGAGTGAACTTACGATCAGGTAGATCTAGAAAGCCGAATATGTTCTGCCATATCTCGTTTGGAAGGTGATGATTGGCGCCATCTGTCGGCATGTCAGGTTGCTTGTGTGACATGCTTATGCTATTGTTGCTGGTCAGGGCGCGTGTATCTCCTTTCATCTTATATTGCATCTCAGGCAACACGATCTCTCCTGAAAGACCAGTGGAGTTGAGAGTTGAGAGTATTGAAATACAGAGACCGGAAGTTATACCGCGTGTTAAGTCACGTTGAGCGAGCGGTGGGATACTTGGTGAAACAATTCCGCGTGATCACCAGGTTATTCTACTCATGGATCTTGATTGCTCTTGATCCATACGGCCAAAGTCAGATGCTCGAAGAGATATCTAAAAGATCATCAAGATAGTGAAACAACGAATCATCGCTTTGACTGAGTAAGTCGAACTTCTGGACTTTTGACTGACCGCATATGTGATCTTTCATTTCTAAGGCTATGAAGTAGTCACTAAAACCCCTCCCACACTTTGCGCAAATGTCCTTCTTTCGTAATCTCGGTTTTCATAGTTATCGTGTTCTGGAAAACCTCAAAGGTACCATCTCAACCTTCATCATCCCCCCACCAGTCGAGGATTTCAAGAATTCTTCTGTGCCGCAGCGTAATTTTGTGTACCATAAGATTATCAGCTACCTCTTTCAACAAGCTCCTGAGTGATGCAACCAAGCTCTGCAAGCGGATCCCGCGGTCGTCAGCAAGTGTGCGTTTGAGATGGATACAAAACCCGTTCAGGAAGATGATAAGGCGTAGTTCCAACCTCTGCGCTGGCGGATTGCATATCAGCATATCGGTCCACAAACCTTGGTCGATCCTGCTCTCGAGACGTGTCGCTTTCTCGCGTAATCGCTCCACGGATGAGAAGCGAAAGCTATGGCTATAGCCTTCATAGTAAGGAGTACTTAGAGGTTCATCTTCTACGGATCTCGGATAAGCAAGCTTGTTCCACTTGAGAGTTTCGAGGACGGGATTGATTTGTAGCCTCTCGAGATGCCTGGTAACGATGAACGGGAGAAAGAGTTCTATAGCGAAGATGTGTCCGAAGGGCTTGTGTAACCGATTGTTGGTGTGAATGTACAGCTCGCGTGTCCATGGTGGAAGATCGGTTGTTAGGAATAGTATCTTGCGCAGTTCTGTGTCGTCTCCTGGTATGCGCAGAAACCACTTCCCACACACGTGTCTGCATCGTATCAGGTCATGGAAGCTGAGATATTCGAAGCTCATCTGCAGTAACTCGGTAGGTAGACGGTCGATCGCGGGTTGCGCTGTACTTCGTACCACGACGTCAGCCGCAACGGACGCATGTTTGGTCTTCTGCTTCTTTCTCCGGGGTGCCATTGTAGGTGGTTGATAGGTGTTGGGAAGATCTTCAGTCACCACCTCATAGGCCTTTGAATGATTTGACATAGCAACCATCAAACTTTCCTCCTTCTTCTAGTAAAGTCTGGGGTGCACCCTCCCGCTACGAGATGGGTTTAGAACCATCCTGTGCTTGCGCTTAGTCCATGGAACAAGAGTCGTTTGTTTTCCAAGAACAAAGACCAAGATAGCATATCCTCGACGGTGAGACAGTATATCAGTGACGTTAGTACTGCGCCACTTGAACCGGAAAACCTAGACTACTGTCATGGATACCATTATTCGTGAAGCTCAAACATGTACAAGTTGTAGTCATCCAACACCGATATTGTGTACAAAACCGATCCCAGACTTTTCAAGATCCTGAGCGCCGTAAGAATATGTGCAAAAGTCCAGTCTTGCACCTCGTCGTGCAGTCCGACACCCAGAACCGCAGTCATTATATCGACAAGTATCCAACTCCCACCTCTTCATGAACACATCACCACCCATTGTCTCCACACCATCTTCACCGCCACCCCTTCCTCTTCTGCTGCTGCTGCGCACTCGCCTTCATCCTAATCTGATCCTCCTTCTGCTGCTGAAACCCCTTAACCTCCTGACTATACACCTCATACTGACCCAGCCAGTACTCGCCCAAGCCCTGCACATCCTCGACAAAGCCCTCGGGCCCTCTGTTATACACCCAAAAGCCCACGACGAGTATCCCGCCCCAGAACACCAGTCGCAACGCCAGGTTCACCCAGAAGATGACGGCCCGGTACATCATGTCCAGTATCTTGAGCGAGATGAAGAATATGGCGAGCAGCGCGAGGATGGAGGCGACATCGGGTTGGGTGATGAGTTTGTTGAGGAGAGGGGAGAGGTGTGTGGAGAGGGTGCGCGAGATGCCGAAGAAGGTTGTGAGGAGGTGGAGGAGTGGGTTTGCGAAGGACGGTGGGAGGAGGCGCGGGAGGAGAGCTGCGTAGTCTGGTGTAGGGTGTTAGCAACCCGTGTCGCAATAGAGTGATAGGACGATAGGCGCATCAGAGAAGCATACCTTGTATAAAATCCATATTGGGCGATTTGCGATTGGACGTGTAGATGTCGTGTGCCAGACGCGATAGAACGCGTTTGTGGGGTGCGGATAGCGAGATTCGCGCTTGCGACTGATCTGCGCGCGGATAGTGGCTGGTGGATGGAATGGGGCGACGCGAATTATGGGCTTGAGAAACGAGCACGCGATGGGGGTTATTGTTGTGTGGCTGATAATTTGCTTGTTTGCCCACACGGTTTGCGGTGACAGCTGTCCACGTTGAGTCGTTGACCCACTAAAACGCTTTCACACACGCCGTGCAGCTCAACACACCTTATCCTGGCTGCACGTCATCCGCTCCGTTCGCTTAGCTTAGTCATCCACCCAGTGCAGGCAGCAAGCCCTACAGTAGATGAAGAAAGTCAACAGGTGCAAGTACACACTGCGGTCTGCAGCAACACGAATCCCAATAACTCAGACTCCTTAGAGTAACGTAGACCTCTAAGTTACTTACTTCTTACCATAGTACCCGTGCAGGCATCTAGCTTGTCGCTTAGATGAGTTGCATCTCCCTTACCAAAACCCACCCATGATGTGCGCAAAAGCAACTGACACCGAAGATCCCTTACTCCACCACCCTGCGTCTTGCATTTCAGCCCCAAGAGTCCAGTATCACGACCTTCACCATCTCGCGGGGTTCACCCAGCTAGACAATGCGGTGTACTTTTCGAGCGCGGGAAGCGCGATCGCGCATGAATCGCGTCCCGCTCGCTTTTCGATAGTCGAAGTGGAGTGGAGTGGAGATGGCGGCCGAGCAGAGTTTCAGATGGCGTACATTGCAGCATTCTGGGGTCTTGGAACTGGCGGTGTAGACCACGTTTTTTTCCTTTGGCACAGGCACAGATGAGGCGTTTGCACGGCTAAGGGGTCGGCGTCGGCAGTCGTGGGTGGGAACGGTCGGGGCCGAGTTGCCGCTTGGGCTGATGTCGTAATGCGTGGTGCGTGATGTCTTGCAGGCCAGGGCGTATTGCGCAATGGGAGGGAGATCACTGCAGCAAAGGTGAAGGATCATGTGCTAATGAGTTTGTTCATTGATATGGGTACAGAGGACTAGCCTCTCGCAGTGCTACAACTGCAGACCCGACTATGTGGTTGGCTATACTACTGAATTGCATTCTCGTGCGATCTTCGGCACTGAGTGGCTCATCCTCCAACAAAAAGAAACAAAGAGGCTCGAGGCCTGTGTAGTTGACTCAAAGGTCTGGTATCATAGATGCAAAGCGCCGCCAAACTCCAAATGACAAAATCATGTCCAATCGTAAAGTATGTATGCGAAGCGAAGGTCGTAAAAGTGAAG